AAAAAAAAAAAAAAGGGGAAATCCAACTGCAGGATCTAATTAAGCAATGCATTTCAGGAATGTTTTACCAAAAAGTCATTCATTTCCTAAAGTAAGTAAAAGTTAATAGTAAAAGAATACTTAATATAAAAAAATATATATCAAATTCCTAAGCAACTTTAAACTGGTTTGGAACTCGAAATACTGAAATAATATACTAAATATTTAAAGAAAAAATTTAGACGTTTAGAGCTTTCTGGAACAAGTACAGTACCTGTGCCCTTGCATGAACTTCCCCAAGGAGTCCAGAGTACTGCTGCTCCAACTCCTTTTTCTGTTTCTGCCAACAGCTTTCCTGTGCTTTCATCTGCTCAGCCACTTTGTTAAAAGTGTCTTCCTGGGTCTGTTGAAGTTCCCTCATGGTATCAGACTTGTTCTTGCAAATATATTCTAGATGAGATATCTGCATCATAGGAATTTTAAAAAAGATTTATTAAACAAAAATGCTCCTTTGCGTTTGTTTTAAATCCTACTTTAATGAGAGATTCTTTTGGCAGAAGACCTTGATTGCATTTTCTTCAGACAGCACAGAAGTAAAAAGTCATAGATCTCCTACTTCATATCTGTCTTTAAACCCCACTTCTTCCAAAAAATCCAACCTATGGTGATCTCATCAATGTTGTCATCTCTATACACTCCAGTAGCTGAACAGATGCCCAGGTTTCATTTGGGTCTGTGTCAGAATTCTTCTGGACAGGAACCTTATCTTATTTGTTTTGAAATGTGCAGAGAACATTTATGGTGCTATATAATTAATAATCCTAGCACAATATATCATAGAGCAAGTTAAGTGATAATGAAAAGCAGAGGTTGCATTTTTATGTAATATTTTATTTGAAAACCAAAGCATTACTTGTATTTTCTGAGTATTAAAACAATTTAAGAGATCTTTACTGTACACTTGATGCCTCTTTTCACAGGCAAGCTTGTTAATTTTATGATGCATTTCAATGAGCAGATTAAGGGGTATAACTTAGCGATCAATGCTTTAGCCATGCAACTTCTATTAAAGCTAAATGGAACTGTGTTTTCATTTAAGAATGTATCTCAAATAAGCATGCCTGCATTTTTCAGTACTGAATCTAAACATATGGTCAATAGTATTTTTTATGCATTGTACAGAACTGCAGGTGAAAAATCTCTGTTAAGAGATGAGCAGTTATAATGCAGCAGACAACACAGACTGTTAAATTCTAAGAAGCTGATGTGCCTGAAATATCACTGAAAACCTTGCTGACCCATCTCAGCTACTGTACAGACACTCCCCGACTTATGCATAACTCGAATTTTGTGAGAGTCGGAAACATATACCCGACAATTACGCAAACAAATTTTTTAAAAAACAAACAACCTCCTATTTCTAGCTTAGGGAACTTTTTCCGTAAGTGCGGATTTGTGTAAGTTGGGTTTGCGTAACCCGGGGGGCGTCTGTACTTAAAAACTACCAGTAATTTTGTTGTTGTTCTCTTTCCTCTGAAAGGACAACGGAGGTGTTTCCTCCATGTCTAATTTGCATGATCCACATCTTTGTCTAACCAAACCCTGTTAATGTTTTCCATTGACTGCTGGGATATTTACTAATAGTGGCGGAGTCAAAATGATTAACTGTAAGCAACCCTGTTCTTGAACTTGAGCCAAGAGAGTGTTCATAACTCCAACACATGAGAAACTCATGAAAGTTTTCCCCTTCTTGTCCCTCAAGAGCAAATGTCAGCATAGCCAAGATCTGGAATCTTTCTTCTAGACCACAGAAACATAGTGCTGACCCGATCAATGGAGCCAGAACATGAATGGAAATCCTTAGGAGCAGCATATGTTAGTCTGCTGAGCCAGTTTAATTTATTGTAACAAAATAGATTTCTGAAAAATGTGGTTTTTTTAAACAGACTTAGCCTTATGAAATCACCCATAAAAGTATTCTGCGTCCCCCCCCAAAACAATTTTTTTATAGTTTTCAAATTCATAATGTTGGTTCTAAATGAATTATATTTCAGACTATAAATGCCATAACCAAATAATTACATTTTTTAAAAACAGGACTTTGATTCACAAGCAAATGGTTTTAAGATGATGCTACTGTATGTTGTTTCTCTTTTATGCTAAGATAAAGAGTTGGTTTATTAGTATAAATGACTAAGTTCTTTGAATTGCTTCATCAGTAAGATTAATTTATTTTCTTTTAATTAGGTCCCTGTGGCTAATACTGGCTAGTAGTATTAGCATGTCCTGCACAGAAAGTGGAGCTTAGAGACTTCATACAGACTTCAGTCACATTTACATGCCCACAGCAATGGCATCAAACTGAGTTGTAGACAAGCCATAATTACTGGTATTGAATTATTAACATCCAAATTCTTTTTGAAATAAGATGAATGTCAGTCCCTTTTAATGATACTGTGATGTGGACAAATGTCACTGAATTTAATAGAGGTATCTGGCGCCTGAGGACAGTTACCTTCTCATTAGCCCTGCTGAGGTCTAAGATCAGGGCATCAACATTCTCCTGCAAGATTGCACAAAGCTCAGGCCAGGAGAATTTATCCAGGATGCCTTCTGGTTGTTTTATAAGCACACAGCCTGCTACCAAATGCTGATATAAAGTATGGAGGAAGGTTAGCTTCTCCTGTGAGACACAAAAAGAAAAAATAACTGTTGTATATAAATATTAGACTAGCTCTAGACTCTAATATTAGACTCTATAGAGATAGATCATGCACACAAGTCTTGTGTTTTCTGTACACATCTGAAAAGACAGAATTACTCATTCTGAAATTCTATTTCAATTTCAATAGAACCATTCTTAATATGTGTCCAAATGCATTAACAAAATCAGAAGAGAAAAAGATTTTGTAAACTGAGTTTAACTAGATATAATGTATAAATACATATTGCCCTACAATCCTCATGATAGTAAATACCATGACCTGTAATAAATATTTGCAGAATTGATTCCTTCATTTCTTTAACTAAGTATATGAAATTATTGTGTCATTTTACAGGTAGCTAATGTTTAAAATCTCTCTCCACCACCACACACACTTATTCTACTGGATTGAAGTTCTGTACAAATTATACCTGCTTCCAGTATATAGCATAACATAACATATACAGTATATAGTAACAAAAAAGTTAATTAGCATGGCAGCAAAAAATTTGATTATACAAACGCCAAATTAGATTATTTTTAAAACAGAAGCACATTTTTAAAATAATTTAATTTGATGTTTGTTCTTTACATGGATTATATGTGAACACCTAACTGTACAAAACAGTTTTATGAGCATCAGTTAAACTCTACAAGCCTGATCCTGATCTCATTTACATTGGATTTTACACTATAGCATACTGAATTGACTTCAGTAGTGTTAGTACTTATTCACACCAGAGAGATCAGAATCTGTTTGTGCATCTATTTAGTCCATCTATGAAGTCTAGCAATTTAAAATTAAGACAAATCAAAGATGGTTCCAACACCACAAATAGGGCTCTGATCCAAAGCCCATTTAACCAATGGAACAATGCCCACTGAAAGCAATGGGTATTGGATCAGGTACTAAGTCAAGAAATCATGAGACTTCATAAAGGTATTAAGGACTCTCCCCATCTCCCCCAACCCCACTTCCAGTGCAACTGCAATTACTACTGTGTCTTTTCCAACTACATTTGGGTACATTTTGTTGTTTGTAATTCATAAAATTTTTAAGCAATAAAACATTCTATAAAATGTTACAACCTAATCTTCTACTTCCCTGGGAATAGTTTAACCATGTCACCATTGTTTCCTTTTTGTTTGGGCTGTGATAAACCAAGCATGATAATCAGCCCTTTGGTGAGAAAAAGAAATCCCAAGTCCCAGAATCAACTCACACATGTTGATCTCAACCACAAGTAGACATGCTGACTTTACAATACAGTCAGGCTTCTAGTTTCCTTTCCTTTAATCACTATCTGATGTGTAGAACAATTCCAACTGCTTCATGTGGACACAATTTAAATCCCAGACTGTAAGAAGGGTGGAAAGAATGTTTCCTTTTTACTCAGTTTGGCATTTGTGACCATATTTGCTGGAGTAATGAGCTCAATATGCAGAACAATGAGATAAAGAATATGATTGATATAGCTAATGCAGAACTATTTTATGTGGAGAAAATTAAAAGGAAGCAATTATTAAGATCAGTAAACAACCATATGAGGAAATCTGGTTTTGAAGTAAAGCTTCATGAAGCAATTACCACATATAGCATACCACAATCAGCTAATACAAAGAAAAAACAGGTATTAACCTGTTCTGTAACTGTTGTTCTTCGAGATACATTGCACATGTCCATTCCACTTCAGATCTGTGCGTGCCCAGTGAACCAGAATCAGAGATTTTTCCCTTAGTGATACCTATTGGGGCAGCACATGAGCCCTTAGGACTTTCATGCTGCTGCATGATGGTAAAAAAGGGGCGAGGCCACCCCCAACCCTCCTTAATTCCATCTGCCCGCATAGAAATTCCAATATAGAGGGAAAGGAGGGTGGGTCGCAGAATGGATGTGTGCAACACATCTCAAAGAACAACAGTTACAGAAGAGATTAATAACGGTTTTTCTTCAACTGATTGCACATGTCTATTCCATGCCATGTGACTCGCAAGCAGTTCAAATTGGAGGTAAGTTTCAGAACAAGGATTTAAGAACTATTAGTCCAGTGTGACAGGGTGCTGGGCAAAGGTTTGCTGATTCAGCCCTCTGTCACCCAGCTCCTATTTAGGGAATAAATTAGAACTGGCTAGAGGTAACCTGGCCCTAATTGGGGAAGCAGAAACAGCTTCCGCCTAATTAGCCTGAGGCTGTATAAAAGCCTCAGAGGAAGAAAACGAGGAGAGGGGAGAGCAGAAAGAATGTGAAAAGGCAGGGAGTGGAAGCAGGGAGGTAGCTCTTCCCTCCCTTCTGCCTGCAGACAGTGAAGGGACAACTGTACATGGTGAAACGGTGGTGGGAACAAGTCTGTGAATAAACTACACCAGTGGTTGCTAATCCCAAGGTCTCAGAGTGACTTTGTGGACCAAGCAGAGGCAGGAGGGACTTGCTGCACTCTGCTAAATGTGGGGGCTTATCCAGGATCCTGTGCCAGAGCAAGTGTTTGGCGGCCCGGAGATGGAGGAGACCCTGCAATGGCTGGTCAAGCAGCAGGAGGAGGTGCAGGAGGCAATGCAGAGTTTTCATCAAGCCCACCAGCTGGAGAGACAGGCCTTGCTCACCTGGCAGGCAGAGCAGCAGAAAAGCCTGCAGGATTTCATTTGCGAACTGGCTGGCATTCAACAACAGCTCCTGCAGAAAGAGGTGAGTTCCACGGGAGGGGATGGCATTTGGGCGCCGGGCTTAGGATTGTGTAAAATGGGCCCGACAGATGACCCCGATGCCTTCCTAAGCACATTTGAGCGGGTAGCCACTGGGGCTGGATAGGACAGGGTAACCTTGGCTCTGCGAGGTGGATGGGCGGGGGGGGGTTGCGGCTTCAGGCATTTGCCCAAAAGTTAATGGACTGGGCCACCCACTGGCTGAGGCCAGATGCCCAGACAGTGGGGGAGATTATGGACACACTTGTCCTAAAGCAGTTTTTACAGTCTCCCTGAGAACATAAAGGTGTGGATGAGGAGGCACCAACAAATTACAGTTGAGTCAGCTATAAAGCTTATGGGTATGCAGAGGCGGACTTCCCCAGGAAAGAGGAATGGCCAAGCAGGGACATGGAGAAGGCCTAGGGAAACCCCGCCTGGAAAGGGCCAGGAGGAGAACAAACGGGAGGACACCCAAGGGGCTCCCACTGGGTCCAGACCAGTTGTCTGCTGGCAGTGTGGATGACCGGGACACAAGAAGGGGGACTGCCCGCACAGGATTGTGGGGTGGAATAGAAGGGTAGGTACACAGCAGTTTATCAATCAGAGAGCCCTGCCTGTGACCTGCCCTGGAACAAAAGAATTGGCACTTTCTCTTGCGACGAGCAGCAAACAGGTCTCTGTGAGGGACCCCTCCACATGCATTTGAAAAACAAATCTGACGATATCCAACCTGAGAGACAACTTGTGATCTCTGATGAATGAACTGCTCAGGTGATCTGCCAGACTGTTCTGAATACCAGGAAGATGGGAGGCTTAGGGATGTATTGTATCACCAGTGAAAAACTCCCCAAGATACATCGCCTCTTGACAGAGATGGTCTGATCTGGCCCCTCCCTGTCGCACAGTACATCGCCAGTATTGTCCAGGAGGTCTTGGGGCTCTCCCTTGACATAAGGGAGAAAAGCCCAACAGACCAGATGAATAGCCCACAATTCCCACATGTTTATGTGGTCAGCCAAATCTTGATGAGACCACAGACCTTGAGTTTGTAAGTTTCCTAAGTGAGCTCCCCAGCTTACAGAAGAAGCATCTGTAACCACAGTCAATGTGGGTAAGGGAAGGACCTATCCACCAGACCAATGAGGCTTGTACTCCTGCAGGTACTCAAATCAGCATGTCCAACGGGTGATGAGCCAGAGAGTACACTGACTTTCATCAGCTCTGCAGCTTTCTGAAACAACGTCTGGCATGCTGAAACACATACATGCAGATGGCCATGTGTCCCAGTAGTCTGAGGCAGTTTCTTACTGTTGTGACTGTATGGACTTAGAGATCTGAGGAAAAAAGTTTAATATTGTGTGGAAATGGCTTGAGTTAGGAACATCCAGGCTACTGTAGAATCCAGGACTGCTCTGAACTGGGAAGTAGATGGACTTGTCCTCATTGATCAACAGACTCAGAACACTGAAGAGGGATTGGATCCTGTATAGACTGGAGCTTGGATCAACCGCTTGCCAGCAAGTTGTTCAAGTAAGGAAATACTTGCATCCCTGCTTTCCTTAAGAATGAAGCCACCACTACCATGCATTTTGTAAATACTCATGGGGCAGCAGCCAGGCCTAAGGGCAGGACCATAAACTGGTAATGGGTGTTGTTGACCAGAAGTCTTCGAAGTCTCCTATGGCTTTAATGGATAGCCACATGGAAACGCATCCTTCAAATTGAGAGCAGTGTACCAGTTGTCAGGATCCAGGGTGATGATGGAGGTTAGGTTGACCATGAAAAAAAAATTGTTTGTATATATTTGTTTAAATTTTGCAAGTCTAGGATAATTCTGAAACCTCCTTTTGCCTTTTGAATCAGGAAGTACACCTCTACCCAGATATAACGCGACCCGCCATGGCTGCGCACTCCGGTGGATCAAAGCAAATTTGATATAACACGGTTTCACCTATAACGCGGTAAGATTTTTTGGCTCCTGAGGACAGCGTTATATCGGGGTAGAGGTGTAATGTGAACAGAAACCTTTCCCTTCATGGAAAGGGGGAACCTCTTCCATAGCTCCCAAATCAAGGAGAGACTGGACCTCCTGGAGGAGGACAGCCTCGTGAGAGGGTCCCTGAGATGGATAGGGAAGGGGGATGGGAGGGAGAGTTGGAAATAAACTGCAGTGTGTATCTCTGATCCCAAGTACTTAGAACCCATCTATCCATAATAATATGGGTCCAAGCACATATGGAAGTGGGATAATCTTTGAGGGGGGGAGAAACTGGCACAATGATCTGCTTGGAGATTTCCAGACTGTCTCAAAGAACCTGCAGTGGAAGAAAACGGAGATGGTGGGCATCTCCTCCTCTGGTTCTCCCCCCCCCACACACACACACACACACTTTTCCGGAGTGGTCAGGCTGTTTAGGCAGGACAAGCAGGTACCTCTAGAAAGACTGAGGATAGAATTTGCTTTCTTTGAGGGAAAGGAGTGTAAATCCTAGAGACTGGAGCTTATCATCTGTCTTCTATGAGAACAGGGTAGGACCTTCAAAGGGGAGATGCTGGATAGTCTGCTGAACCTCCTGCGGGAGCGCAGACAATTGAAACCATGAACATTTGCACATCGTTACTGTAGATGCCATGCTCTGGCTGCTGAATCTGCCCCATCAAAGGCAGCTTGCAGAGAGGTCCTAGCCACCAGTTTTCCCTCTTCTAAAGTAAGCTAGAATTCCTGCCTGGCATCATCTGACAATTTGTCTCAGAACTTCATTACATTGTCCCAGAAGGAGAAGTTGTATCTGGCCAGTAAGGTTTGCTAGTTAGCATTAAAAAACTGTAGGCCAGCTGTGGAATAAATCTTTCTACTGAAAAGGTCTAGTCTCTTTGCATCTTTGTCCTTTGGATAGAAGGCCATTCCTGATGCACTCTTTCATTCACTGCCAAGACAACTAAGGAGCCTGGAGAAGGTTGGGTGTAAAAATGTTCATAGCTTGAGAAGGGATATAGTACCTTCTCTCTATCCTCTTAGCTGTCTGAGGCAGAGAGGATGGCATTTGCCACAAATATTTTGTAGATTTTAGATTGACTGTTTATAGGTAGAGCCAACCCTGTATGTCCACCAGCCTATGGGAACTCTCCTGAATATCGAGGCAGCTACTCTCGTTAGTAACCCCTGGTAGTGATCCTGAACAGGTGAAGAAACCTCAGACACTTCTAGAGAATCCAGCATCAAGAGGAAGAACAGGTCCCATGGTGCTATATATAATTCCAGTGTTTTCCATATCAAGATATTTCCATGATGCTGCTGTTATTGCATCAAAGGGGTCAGAACTGCAGTGGGGGTAGACAATCCTCAATGATTGAGAGCTGACAATTCTTGATTAGAAGACACCAGTATCAGGGAGTACCTCTTTCCAGATGATACTCTATCTCCCAGTGGCTTATTAGTGGACAGTACAGGGAACCTCAAACTTCTAGAGGAACTTGGCTTCTTTGGGGAATGCTATTCTGATGCTCTGTGCTTCTTCAGCACCAGAGAAGGGGAATGGTGCCTACTATAAGATGCAATGCAATGAAGGGCACTCCTAACTGAGGTAGAAGTACTCAGGGCCTGCGCCAAGAGGAAAGGTTCAGAAGGTGGATGCAGGTGGCCTCCATACGGAGGTAATGCAGTCTCATCTCTGTCCTTTTCTGTCTGGCATCTGAAGTCCTGTAGATCTTGCAATGATCTCAAATGTGACCCTCTCTGAGGCACCTTAGGTACCTGAAATGAGAGTCACTAACCAGCACAGATTTTTTGAAGCTGCACAAGACTTATAGCCCAGAGACCGAAAAATATCCTGGTACCAGTTCCTTTTGTATACTAGGAATCAGATGCTCAAAGTTGTAATAGAAAATAAAGAAAACGTACACTTACAAGTACTACTATTTGCAGGAGAAAGATAAAAATCCATGAAGTGGGAGAAACCTCGGACTGCAACCTGACACACTCCAACTACCGATCATGGGTGATAAGAAGGAATTAAGGGAGGGACTAAGCAGCTCCCCTTTATAGCCTTGTGCAGTGGTGCAAGAGTGCTAAGGATGTATGTGTTTCCCTAATGAGTACTGCTAAGAGAAAGTCTCCGGCCCTGGTGCACTGGGCACACACATACCTGAAATGGAATGGACAGGTGCAATCACTCCAAAGAAGCACAGGAAACACTAGTTTGGTAGTGGGTGAGCAAAATGACCTATTTTTGGAGGGGGGAGGGGTTGCTATTTGAATCAGTAATTAACACCAAGAGATTCTAAATACAAAGTGTACATATTTACTTTCAACTAAGTAACAAAAAAACAAAAACAAACAAACAAAAAACAGTACCAAGGCATGATTCTTTAAATAAATGCATTTGCCCTGAACAATAACTGCTAAGAGACAGATATTTTAAAATGTAAATGACCAGAAGGGTTAAACTGTTAACTCATTTTATAAAAATGGAATGAAAGAGAATTAAGACACTTGAAAATTTTGTAGATGGTAAATACACATTTCAAAATACATATCTTAAAATCATATTTTGCAGATAAATCTGTTAAGACATAAAGCAACCATCTGATGTATGTAAATGTACAAAGCTAAGATTAAATAAAGGCTCTTTTTGACAGTCATCTCGTCTATGGTAATACCTCAGTATCCTTCTGGTAAGCCCTGGTAAGCTTCTGGATTTCATTTTCTGATTCTGTGGCACGGACTTTCTCTTTCTCCCAGCAGTGAAGTACATTCTGCAGTTCCATTTTTAAAGTGCCTATTAAAGCCTCTCTGTCTGCACACTTAGTGCGTAGATGATTTAACTCTTCATTGGCATCAGCCAGATTATCCTGAGCTTCCTACAGAATAGACACACAAACTGAAAGGTTGGCAACAGTTTTACACCATACAGCATTACCTTGGCCAATGTTCAGTATCCTTGGAAGCAAAGATAGAGAGATATTTTCAAAACAACCTAAAATAATCCATCTGCTTACTTCTAATGATAGACTGAAATTAAAATTTGACACTGTTTTCCTCTGGGAATAGGGGAATAGTGTAGAGCAAAAGGACAAGTCCTACAGGATTATTTCCTTTTCTCCCTTTTTAATCCATCTCCATGGTCAAAGTCTTCATAATACAACTGCCTTCCTTTTGGGGCTGGGTTTGTCTCCTTACAGAGAGAGTATACAGTGTTCCTTCAGTTGAAAATCTGACAATATAAAGATACAGCCTCCTATAGATATAAGGAACTGGGTGGCCCTGATAAAAGGATACAGTATTTTTCTTCTGTAAATCATTGGTTCCAATGCAGCCCAGATTGGTAGCAACCAAGGACTGTTAACATCTTGTTTAATATTTAGTGGTCAATGTGAAATCAGAAATTGTACCAGTTGGTACAAATGTACCAACCAGCACTAAACCTCAGAAGACTTTTACAGCAAGAGGTAGTCTGCTAGGCGAGAATAGACACACATGCTCTACCTCTTCTGTGAGCAGAGAACTTCTACTTCCAGGGCTGGTAATCTGACACCTTTCATGACCACCAAGTTCATACGACCAAATCAACTTAATACTGAATATTGAAAGCATTTAGTTGAAATGTTTGCCTATAGATTTTTAGATCATAAAATCACTTTTGTCTAATAAAATAAAAAAAATAAAAAAATAAAATTAATGGAGATATCCCATCTCCTAGAACTGGAAGGGACCTTGAAAGGTCATTGAGTCCAGCCCCCTGCCTTCACTAGCAGGACCAAGTACTGATTTTGCCCCAGATCCCCAAGTGGCCCCCTCAAGGATTGAACTCACAACCCTGGGTTTAGCAGGCCAATGCTCAAACCACTGAGCTATCCCTCCCCCAATTGTGAAGTATACTATCAGTTGTTTACTAAGGTACTCATCACAACTGTATTTTCATATAATTTCTTAATAAAAATATTCAAATCCAAGAATAGGGCAACTTTCTTTAAGCAAGCTCTACCATGAAGAAATACTAGGCCAGGTTCTGTGCTGAGTTACACATTAAATTGAGTTTCTACAGATTTACACCATGTAACTCTGCTCAGAAACTGGTTCACTATCTCAAAAAGAGTGCCTATTAGAAAAAAAATAGTTGGTAGAATAGGTCTCATATAGAGTAGACATTTGCATTATAAAAAAAATCTGCAAAATCTTTAGGATGCTTTAAAAAAAATGCATTGTGGCTGAAGCAAAAGTCTAGGAGGCAGAAATCAGGGCTCTATTGTCAGGTCTGCCACCAATTTCCTGTGTATTCCGGGGCAAGTCATTTGGGCCCAGATACTCTAGGGTGCTGAGCAGTCTCAGCTTCTAATGACTTCAAGGGGAGAAGTTGGTACTCAACACCTCACAGAACCTTATTGTTCATTAGTATCTTCTTCTACTCAAATCAGAAAAGTAGCACTTTACTTCACAGGGGTGTTCTGAATCTAAATTAATTAACGTTAGACAAGTTCAGTTCATAAAATGGAAGGCCACTGTGTTACTACCAATGAATGCTAACACAGTCTCTCAATAATAAATTGAAACAATGAAACAGTGCATCTCCAGTAAAAGAATTTGAGAAACTTTGGGAGTGGCCACACTCAAACTTGGCAGTAATACAAAACGCTGCCAGCTGGAAGACAGAGTTTAACAGTGACCTCAGGACTTTCCTTGGTCACTGATGTACCCAGACATGACACATTACAAAAGAAAGACAAAAACAAATTCTAATTTGAAAAAGGCTATAAAATCAGAACTCCAGATATCCATGAGAAGTGCTTGGCTTAGAGATCAGCAATTTCTTATTAGCAGTAATTTAGGCCTATAGATCTCTCCAAATGTCAGGATTACCTAATATTTGGTTGGATTATACACAAAATTTGGCCATAATATCCATAATAATTTCACTGATATCTGTCTTCACTGTAAATTTTGCACATTTCAAACCATGACTTTAAACTTTACAGTTCTGTAACTGAAACCTTCCAAATGCTTTCAGATGAGATCCATATACATAATCTAAATGTATGTGATCAAGTTTCCCACAGGTGCAGCCAATGAGATGAACAGAGGTCCATCCTCAGCTTTCTATTGATCTGTTTATATCCCCCCTCAGTAAGGTTGTGGAATTAATACATTCTCATTCCTGTTTGTTAGTTTTTTAACATGTGGCTGAAACACTGTATTTTCCCCAGTAATACTAGAAAACGTTATTCTGAAGCAAATAATCTGCCATTACATGAAAAAGAAAAGTGAATATTTTAAAACTGAATTGTATTTTCATAAATAAATGAATGAGTAATTAAGTGACAAATGTGAAAAATTATCAGATAGTTGAGCCTAAAAATATTTGAGGATAAATTTCATATGCACATTTTATGCATACAGAACAAAATATGAAAAACTAAAAGCTAGCAGAAAAAAATGTTGAGGATGAATTCAACACAGAAGACCTACCCTTGCCAAACAAACAAGCACAAAATGATGAAGTAAGAGGACTATTCAAGGATCAGATCATCTGTTTAAACAGATATTACTTCACTAATGCAACCTTTGAAATGTTCACATAGGTAGGCTTATAACATCTGTAGGCTTCAACCACTTGAGGTTTGAAATTCTACTCAATAGAGAAGTGATACAAAAAACTTATTTTGAGATAACAGAGATAGATTGTATCTGCAGGATAATATGTTAAGTGAAACATACCAGAAATATATGTAGTATGTTAAGAAGTTACAGTTCATAAAAATATACCTTAAGGTCTTGACTTTGAGACCATATTTTTTGTTTGGATGAGTCAATCTCTTTTGTCATCTTCTCACATGAAGCTTTCATTTTCTTTAGCTGAGAAAAAAAAAGAAAAAAAAAACAGTTGGGAGTTGCAGAGGCTATGTAGGTACTTAAACGTAAAATAATATTGCCTATACAAATGTAAAACCAGAATGTATTAGAAAACTATTCAGACATCAATTGTAAACAATTTAACAGATTACCACTAAACAAGTTTGATATATTAAATATTAATAATGATATTACAAATAAATAATAACAGCAATAACCCCAAACCAAATTCACTATTGCTTTTGCCCATGAACTCTCAAATGCCTGGGGGGGAAAAGTCTTTTGAAATGTGCCAGAAAATTTAAGAAATCCAGCTCCTAATGACTTTCAGGAAGCAAGTTTCCAAGTCAATAGCCCCTCCCAGAAAATGCCCTAAAAGCAGCATCCTCCCTCTTAAACTGAGGGGACTCCAGCTCATGCATTTCTGCTGATTGCAACAGCAGCATAACTCAAGGAGAGGCATAGTCTCTCAAGTCACCTAATCCCAAACTATTCAGGGCATTACAAGCACCTACTGATTGGAGCACTGGAGTTATGTGCCCTCTTCCAGATGCACTTTTCTGATAAACAGGTGGCCACAATATGTGCTAGCTTCATCTTCCAGTTTCAGTGTAGAGACCAACATTGCAGTCTAACAGTAATCTAATCTTGAGTGTCAAAAGGCACAAATAATGGTAGCCAAGTTTGTACGCAAAAGATACAAAGAGATAGGCAGAATATAGCGATCTTGGTCATTGCTGCTACCTGACCAACCAGGAGTTGCACAGAACTCTATAATACATCTAAATTGTAAACACTTCACAAATGGCCACTGCATGTCTCCCTCAATCAGGGGTGCTGATATAATCCTTGCCTACTCTATTAGCTGCTTTTCCCAATTTACCAAAATTATTTCTATCTTTTCCATATTGTGTTTCAGCCAGCCAGACCTCATCTACTCATCCCTCGAACTCATATAGACACGTGAAAGTGAATGCTCTAATTTTAATATTTACTAGCTCTACAGAAATTGAGTTATTAGCTCTTACGTTTATTTAGTAAATTAGAGCTAATATAATGTCACAAGTTCACCAAACAGGTCCAGACATATATGTAAAGCCAAAACATTAGTTACATCCATCTATGTGTGGGGTCCTGTCATAAGTCTATACCCTACAAAACTTAACAGAATTAAACAAGCCTAAAACCTTAGCGCTGCATATAAAAGCAAGTTATTTTTATTGGATGGTGTTCTTGATAATCCCTGAGAGTTTTATTCTAATATTAAAAGAGTTTTATTACAAAACATGTCTAAGGACAAAATGCACAAAAAGCAAGAAGCAGCGGCATCTATGGGGAAAATCAAGGAGGAGAGAACACTGCCCTTTCTGTGTACCACGAGGGCATTCAGTGGTCTCTGGCTCCGCATGACAACTTCAGGGTCTGTCACATGCAGTCCTACTGGGAAGTCTTGTGGCAGGTCATCAGCTTGCGATTTATTTTCCTTGACAGTTCATTCTTCTTTCTGTCAGAGTACTCTCTTTGCTTTCTTAGCAGCCATCCCCTTGGCCTCCCCACTGCTGTCTCTGGCACTGTTTCACAACAAAGCACATTACTAAGCCAAAGCCTGCTGAGTAGACTTTTCAACTGTGCTGAGAATCATGTGACATTCATCCTCCCAAGTAACAATTCACTGTGGGTAATGTGCTTCTAGACCTGGGCCTCAAAAGAGATTCATAAACTACTAAACACATTGGTTATCTTATCTCACTGCAGAGACTTAACAGTGCTTGCTGTTTACAGAAGTAAAATTGTTTCTGTGGTCACTTATTCTTGTGCCCCTTGAACAAATCTCAGAGGACTTGACGGAGATTATTTTTTCCCCAATAAAAACAGCAAAGTTAATATGATTTATTTCAAATGTAATGAGTGACTGGATAAACAATAAGTTTATCAAACAGAAGACAAAGCTTAGGACTAGAAAAAAAATAAAATAGTGACACATTTCAGTGCTTTGCCAATTTTATGTACAATTAAAGGACTTAGAGACGATGTAGTTAACTGCTCTCTACTGTGTTTAAACCTACATTTCATAAAACATTTTAAACCCAAGAGGATTAACCAAATCACATTAGCAATATAAATAAGAAAATAAATACAAGACAGACTTTTCAGCCAGTGACTAAAAGCCTCTAGGACTGCATGAAAAATACATTTTTTTAAAATAGAAATGTTTGTTACTCTTCTTTTTTACCTTTAGAAAAGTATAATGCAGATATCTCTTCCTCTGTATGACATAAAAAAACCAAACCACGAAATTTAACAATCTTCATCAATAACACAACTGATCTCTGAAAATAACGTCACTTTTCTTGTGGGGGCCCTCACATTTACACAACTGATACCAATGCACGTTAAAATTCAAGTACTACATTGTATTTTTAAAATACTTACGTCACCTTTTACCTAAAGCCCTAGATGGAGGATGGAACGTGTCATATTTCTGTGTTTACTGAAAACAGCTCAAAATAAAAATATATAAACTATTTTTTATATTTAAGTGGAACATTACTGTAGGGCAAGCTTAGGAAGAGTAGTGACAGAGATAATTTCTTTTTAGTATCCATGTAGCTGTCAACTCAACATTCCCAATCTTTTGACCTTTGTAACAAGTGAGGAATACGTACTGTTGCAGGCCGAAGGCTATATTTATGGAGCCAAACAGTGCAAATGTTACCTCATTAGATGTATCTTCCAGCTTGTTCTGGTAATCTGTCAAGGTATTCCTCAAAGTCTCAAGGACAACAGAGAGGCTTGGAGGTTTATCTTTGTCCTTGCGACTGCCTGAAGAAAAATTACAAAATAAAAATAAAGCCCTTAAAGTCACAGAGAGACAGAGAACTGCTCAGACTGGAACAGAGATATTAAAATTAGTTAGGGCTGCTACAGTAACAATACAGAACATTAAACAGCAGCCTTGTTCTCCCTACAGCATACAGTTTCATGTCAAATATAGCTAAATAACTGCTTGTATGAGAGCTGTTGTACAACAAAGTTGCAATCTCCAGTTAATACTTGCAGTTATCATCCAACTAATGGACTCTATATCCAGTTTGAGGTATGTAGCTTAGTGATTATTAGGGCTATATGTCATTCAGTCAGATCACCAACCATTTACACTGCACAGGGACACACTTTGCAAAAACATCTTGTATTAAGTTAAGTAGATTGCACTTTTCCTGCATTATTTTGGTGTCTTCTGACCAAGCGTGCATTTTGTAATGTAGTAATACATCACTTACTCAACAAACCTTTGCTGAGCCAAAGATCACATGACGTTGTTATGCTTGGAAAGGTCTTAAAACTCTTTAAATGTTCTTGTATTCCAGTCCAAAAGGAAACACAGATTTTTTATTATCTGTCTGTGCATTCCTACATAATGTTTCAATTACAAATCTTAAAGCTGATATATCCATTATATAAAGTTTCTTATACGTATTTATTAAACTTAAGCTACAACTTCTGCTCTAGTTGACTTAACTAGGGTCATAGGCACAAAAGTAGTTTACATTGTTGCCTTCAAAATGATTTCTGAAAACAAGAACAATTTTATATCGATCACGTATTCATAAGTTGCCAACTGAATAACAGCAACTATAATAATAATTATATCATTTGCATATCACCTCTTAGCTCCCTTTATAAACATGAACTAGCCCTTAATCCCTAGTATTGCCCTTATTTTACAGAAGGAGCCACTGAGAAGCAAAGAGGTTAAAGAACATGATTTTCAGAGATGCTAAGCACCAACACCAATACCCACTGCAGTCAACAGAAGCTACAGTTGCTCAGCATGTCTGAAAAAAATCAGACCCTGAGCAACTTTTCCAGCATAACACAGCAAGTAAGGAGACAGACTGTCTTGTATTCTAAACCTATCCATTAGACCAGCCACAAAACTTTCTATAAAACTATAGTTGCAGGAGCACCCTATCTTTTGACTATTTTAAAATCTTAGTTTAGTTTTTTCTAATCAAAAATGGAAGGGTAAGTATCACTTAACCAGATGTGAAGCATTAAACAAAGCCTGTCTTTGGATACTCACATGGAGCACCAACTGCAGTCAATGGAAACATCACACATGCATGCAAAATCAGAATATTGCCCACAACCACTTTAAAATTGAAATGTGAAAAGTAATTTCCCGTTTTTAATCACTTCAGGAAGTACAGAATAGGGCTTTAAGAGGTATTTCACTCTTGGACACACTAACTTTTCACTTTTATTTCTTAGTCCATCTTTATTACCATAGTCACACTGTGTTAAAACAAATGCTGATTCGCATTAGGGCTTAGAGTGCAAATTGCTTTATCTTCTGTTTCAGGACGTTGGTGAGAATGCTATCCTAGGGCCAAGTTCTGCACTATGATCAACACAAAATTTTCCAGTTAATTCAATAGGCTGGGAAATATGCATGCATATCTTAAGGCATAATTCTGTTCTAAGGTTATCCTTATCACAGTCTATTTTGGTCACTTTTTTAACATTAAGAAAAAAATTACACTAAAATAAATTATGGACTAGATATGCCATCCTTGCTCTATTATTTGTATTCCTGTAACACCTAGAGGCCACCTCAACTGAAACAAGGCCCCACTATTCTAGGATATAATCCCTGCCCCACAGCATTTATAAATTAAATAGTCGAGACAAACAGAGGGTGAAGCAGAGGGACAGAGAGGAGAAGTGACTGCTCAGACTCACATAGCAGGTCAGTAGCAGAACTGGGAACAGAAACCAAATCTCTTGAGTCCCAGCCTAGTGCCCTAGCCCTGGACTAAGACGTCTCTTCTGGAGTATGCAAATACTGCACAAGCTGGCCCATTGTGTTCTTGTGGCATAGGGTATTAATCAACATAAATAAGGGTAGAAGAATCTGACCATATATGATAAGGTTAGATTTTATTTAGATTTAAGAAAGACATCCCATCCTTAAATTATCCAGCTGTGCTTAAGTAATGTAAAATCCCAGTATTGGAGGAAATTACAGAGTATTCAGGTCCCTTTGTTTTGCATAGCCCAGATCACATGGCAAGCAACCCTGAATTCCACAACATCATTACATTCTACAGCAACATTAATACTTGCATAGCCATTAAATATTGTTCATGCTCATCCCTCCCACCACTACAAGAACTCATACAAAACTATGGCTCACAATATTTTCATTTGTCCCTTATTTTGGGTGATGTGTTTTTTGCTGAGTTTTCCAGGTGATCCAACTCCACTCTCCAAGCTTCAAATCCTGCAGTGCCGTCTAGGAGGCAAGTCTCAGAACTGCCTTCTCCAACACATAAGCCTTGGAAACAGCAGTTTGTAACCAGCTTCAGAAACTCATCACCCTGGCTGCTGAACTCTTCTCCAGGCAGCCCAGCCCATCGTACCCGATTCCCTCTGACTAACTACAAGCTAAACTATCTGTCTGGTTCCATGGAACAGTGCAGGGAGCACACAACATAAACCAATTACCACCCCTTTGTGGGGAAAGCTGCAGGCAGGGCCCAGTTGGGCCATGAGACAGAAAACAAAATCAGGAGCTTGACTGTAGCAAAGTGCGGAATACTCTGACATCTTAGAAAAATGTCAAATTCTATAGTGCTCTTATTGAGATGAATGGGTCAGTTCACACTGTGTAAAGCTATTGTTTCAGGCTCTCTGCTGACTTAGGTGAGCAACACTCCATGAGTTTACACTTGTTCATACCAACCCTCAAGATGATAACTGGGAATTTTTAATCAATCAATATAATTAATACATAATCTATAGATCAGGCTACACAAGTTCATCTCCAAAACCTTATGGGCTAAAAATTATTTTTTAAATGAAAGTTAATATTCTGTAATACAATTCTGTGACTGAAATCACAGAATATATCCCCTCCAAAGTATCCCACACATGGTACAAGAAGTATAACAAGATGAACTGATGAAAAATTATCAGCTAAATTTCATGGCTTTAAAAGTGACCGGGGTGGGGAAGTGGGTTTGTGACTTTTTGCTTTATGAAAAATTGTTTAAGTTTTCCTGCTTGTTTTTACTTTAGAAATATCAGGACTGTCAAATCTCCTCTTGTTTTGCTAGAGAAGTCCCGTGAAGAACCCAAAGAGACTGGAAGATCTCTCCTCTCAGCCCTTAAGTGAAAGGACAGGACTGATGAACCTTTAACAAAACAGCATTTCTTTCAACTAGTTGACAGATGTTTGAATTAAACAGGTGTTTAAAAACAAAACAAAAAAGACATTTTAAAACAGTTTGTCTTCACAGGATAGTTATACTAGTATAAGATAAGGTCTGAATTTAAACTGATATTATTATTTATATTACAGTTACGTCGCTTGGGAAGGGGGTTAAGTTAAACAAAAAGAATTACTCTTATAGTGGAGTAAGTGTCCACCTGGGTGTCAAGTATCAGAGGGGTAGCCGTGTTAGTCTGAATCTGTAAAAAGCAACAGCGGGTCCTGTGGCACCTTTGAGACTAACAGAAGTACTGGGAGCATAAGCTTTCGTGGGTAAGAACCTCACTTCTTCAGATGCAAGTCCACCTGGGTGGTTATACTAGGATAACTAACACTGGTAAAACTTTGCCAAGTAGACAAAGCCCAAGACTCTCTTCCCTTCTGTTCAGGTTTCAATATGTCAGAACCCCACTGCTTCTCAAGTTCTCCAACACAAAGAGAGAACTCAATGTTTGACACTTTTATATTGTTAAAAAGTGGTCTTTAAAATACCCTTTAAAAACCAAAATTCCTTGAGGCCTTTCTTTTTACATCATAAAGAAACAGACAGAACACATTCTTTTCCCCTTCACAGGTCATCTTTAAAAGAGCAAGCATCCATTCCAGCAACATTTTTTTCTCATCTTCTGACACAGAACAGTCCTAGCTGGTGCAGAAATGTGATAAATCAGTCTCTCTCAGGTATTGCTCACATGAGGAAGTTCTGATGCACCACTTCCAGGAGTCAACCATTGGGAGTTTATGATCAACTGAGTATGTCTGCAGTTGATTCTCCTTCCCTGCTATGTAACTGGCCACTAGGAACATCTAGTAGGACTATGCCAGTTCTCAATCCTTGAGCAGGGGTGCTGGAACAATTTTTATAGTGGGGATGCGGAGAGCCTTGAACCAAACTGTAAGCCCTGTATACAATGGAAACTACTTCAAGCCGGGGGGTGTGATAGACCCTGAACACCCCTAGTTCCAGCACCTATGTCCTTGAGGACTTTGTTCTTCAATACTTGTTGATGTTATGCTACTGTTCCCAAAATATGATCCATGGATCACTGGTGGCCCATGAAGCCCTTGCTGTTGATTTGTGCAGAGTAGGCAGATAACATCGTGCTAGCTCTCCTAATTTCCAGTTGGTTTCTACGTTAGACCATAAGGAAGTATTAAAAGCTCCAACTTTTTATTTTTATTGGTCCTAGATTTTCTGCAAGTCCACTTCACAGAGCAATAGTGTCTCTTTGTGGGCATGAAAGAAATAATAGAAACAGCAATATTAGACAAACATACACAAGAAGAAAAAGCAGGTAAGAAGAAAGCAAAACATCTTTGAAAATACTACAATACGATCAATTGAAAAGTGCAGTGAACCTGCAAGACAAACTGTAGAATTTTACTGTTTGTCTCCCCTCAAACTAGAGCAACGCTTTTGAGGTTTCAGCGTTTGCTATGAGGACCCACTTGCAGCAGCAAATCAGACTTATTCTGCAGAGGAGCAACTCTCTACAGCTGCTTTTGAAGCTTTAAAATTTTTTATGTTTAGATGTCTTATTTTTAAAGGTGGGAGTAAATAAAGTGCATTAAAAACAAACTACTGAATTCCCACTAAGAGGGAAACATGGGATCCGATCACTCCTTGTGATACTTACCATCAAGGGGATGAGAAGAATGGAAAACCTGTTCAAAGTTCTATAAATTGCTTAGGAACAGCAGCAGACCCCCTCCCTTTAACCCTGCAAAAGCTCCTTTGTGCAAGAGAAGCACCACAGGCTTGAGAGGAGACTGGGAAAGGCTGCTCTAAATGGTACAAAATCCTATGAGTGAACCTATGGAGAAATATCCATAGGAGTTAATGTTGAGGCTTTCGGCATTAATTCTCACCGGTTCCCACTATGCACGTGGAAACTGACTGTGAGGATTTATTTGGCCCAAGTGCAGGTGAGGAGGTCATAGCATCACAGTTCCAGATGAAGCCAGGCTTTTATGGGAAACAGGGGAATCCCCAGAAATATCAGAAAGGGGTCTAGTGCTCTTCCACTCAACTTTCCCTGTCCAAAGCTTTTTATCTGGAATGACATTTGTCACAGTTCAGGGCAACTGCACATGTATTTCCCCGTAGTGGTTCAGCAAGGGCGCTCACTCTCAGGGATTCCAGCTCTCCAACCATTGCCTTTCTGGGTGGAAATACATGTTTCTCTCCTTTCTGACTGGCGTATTTCTAGACTGCACAGTTTCCTGCCTTCACTGTATTTCCCAGCACAGACAGGTTGCCCAAGGACACCTGCTTGCTTTCTCTTTAGAGATGGTTACAAGTGTAACTACTACAGATATAAATACCATACAGATTTCTATGCAAGCCTACTTCATTCTTAAGGTAAAAAGCATTACAGAGAAAACACTGAAAACAATAAAAGAACCTACACTCACGCTAATAAGATTACTAGAATTAATTGCAACCATAACATGGATTCTGGCTGGCCCGGTCCTTCCGGCCTTACCCTAAGGATTGGGGCCCTCTGTGGACCAGGGATTTGCTGGATCAGGAAGAAGGCCGTATGCTAGTTTAAAGCCAGGCTATTTATCTAAATCCCCTTTCTTAATCGATGGTTCCTGGAGAATCCACTTCAAAATAGTATATGCACACCTTTCTACGGGGGTGGCTTCTTTGAAGATGTTACAACCTGAGTCAATTTGCCTAATCACCCCCTGTTGTCCTTCAGATGGAAATACATACAATTCCACAATAACGCATACACAATTGCTTTTTTAATACAATGAACTCCAAAGATGTTAAAACTAATTCATTAAGGTTTAAGTTAATTCAGTAAAGTTCATTCAGGATATTGTAGGAAATTATCAGTCTGTCACAACGTTATTTGGCCAAAAATTCAGAGAAAATAAAGGAAAAAAAAAAATCAATGAAAGGCTGCCACATCATCCGTCAATGTATCTTGTTGCTAGATATTTCAGAAATGCAGATATAATTTATATAGCACCACATAGCACATTAGGTTTAACGTGAACTTAAATAAACCCCTTTTCTCAACATGTTTTACCTATTTTTGTAAAAAGTACACTTCTACCTCGATATAACGTGACTCAATATAACATGAATTTGGATATAATGCAGTAAAGCAGCGCTGCGGGGGGGGGCGGGGGGGGAAGGGGGCGCTGCGCACTCCGGTGGATCAAAGCAAGTTCAATATAATGCGATTTTACCTATAACGCGGTAAGATTTTTTGGATCCTGAGGACAGTGTTGTATCGAGGTAGAGTTGTAATTCCTAAGATTATTATAACAAAGATTAGAGGAAAATATTTCTTTATTTATTCAGTCCATTTACTGTGTGTGTTTGACAGCACTTTGTGAATACTTTGTTTGACTGGTTCCCTTGTATAGGAATGTGCATGTTCCATACACCAACAAGAAAGAAAAACTTTTTTTTTTTTTTTTTTTTTTTTTTTTAAAGAACATAAGATTGTAAAAAATCACAAAAACTGACAGGGGAAATGACTGTCAGCTGTAGTACCTAAAACTACTTTTACCCCCTTTTTAAAAATAAAATTACTAGATTTCAAATTAATGGTGTCTCAATAATTCCTGTTTATCCTCAGTCCCCATCTCAATTGTAGAGTAATATGTTACAGATAATACCACATAATGTATATGGTAGAGTCATGCTAAATCTTCAATTTTAGATTTCTATACTAATCGGAAAAATATTTACCGGTGTGCTGTTTGAAATTAAATGAATGCAACTCAGTTAGAGTACAAAGTACTGCTATAAAGAGAACTGTGTTACATCCTGTGTCCTACATAACCTTTGTGAATATGTGACCTTTAAGTTGCTGAAGGTTGCCTCAGAATTTGGCTCAGTTCAGTCAAAACATCTGTTCCCCTTGCAGGTAGACTGTAAGGACTTTTTTCTCAGTTGGATTTAGAGCACAGCAAGAGAGCCCTTTTCTGACCGATCAGATAGATCCCAGCACTTGTAAATCAAGTTCTGGGCTGACAACAGCAGGTCCACATTCCGTCACCCTTTCTCAGCTAGCGAGGCCACTTGACTGCTGTGAGAACTGCTCTCATCATGTCATCAAATCAAAGCATGTTGAGAAGAGGGAACGCAAGAGGCATCTGCAGAATTCCCACAATGTAGTGACTTTGGAACACTGACAGATGCATCTGTCATTTTATACCTTCAACTAACCTGCTGTCCGCTGGCTTGACATAGTAAAGCTGTCCAAGAGTAACTCCAGTTCTCTCACATTGTTTTCACACATCTCTGTTAGGAAGGCCTGGCGTTTCTTGGCCTTTGTTTGACAGGGGGATGGGTGAAGGAAAAAAAATATTAAAGTGGTAAACAAAAAAAGACTTGTGTTACAATTAATATTTTTACTGTAGGACAAATTATACAAAAAGACACATTGCACATCATTACTTTTTCCTGAAATCAAGCGGGTACCACATGACAGTACAAACAGCTAAAACAGTGTTTCAGTGTGGACTTAACATGCATTTGGGATAAAAAACGGGGGAGGGGTGTGTGGTCCCTTCAAGCAGTCAGAATTACTAAAGTTTCAAAAAGAGTATAGTAATTTTCTCTTCCTGCCATAAAAATCGTTATCTGCTGCCTATGTACACAAACAACAAAGTTAATTGTTGCACTGTGCAAGGACATCTGGAAAGGCACAATGCTTCTGACAAGACGGGATGGAAATCAAGGTTCTGCTGCTTTGGAAAAGCCCATACCTATTGTAGTTGCAAGCTGCCAAGTGCAATTGTTAGCTATATTCTCCTTGCTAGATAGTGGTTTCTTTAACTAGAAAGCAGAGTTGTTGAGATTGATGTCCCAGAAGCAACGGAATAATGGAGAACACTTCAACTCCCAGCACTGGATTTTCTTTCAATAAGCTTTTCACTGGGGGACCTTGTGGGTAGGCTGTTGTTCAAACTACAGGGCTGGTCCTATTTCGAGGGCCAGTTTAATATTAAAGTGTCTGAAAAGATTTAGAATAAAATAAAATTGCAAATAATAGTTATGTCACATCGATTATTGTTTCTTCTTCAAAGGGCAGCCCAGCATCCAACTTGAGTAGACGGGCTGGGCAGTGGGCAAATCAATGGGAGAGGCACCCTTCCCACAAGCCAGTCTAATAGTTGCACAGACAATCCACAAAGGCTGCTTCAGCCCATCAGCTGATTTAGCACCATACTCCACTATCACTGGAGAAGAATGGGAGGATCAGCATAGCAGTAGGTCCTGTGGCCACACCCTCCATCCACACCTCATATCACACTTTTCCCTTCTCTGTGCAGCAGACCCTGCAGTCATGAAGGAGGGCCTAGATTTGTAATTGCAAGAGTTTAGATAAGTAAACTTATTATGTAGTTACAAATATTGAGGTACCATATGACATGTTTTCTTTTCATATGAAAAATATTTTAAAGAATATTAATAAAACGTGAATTTAATATTTCACACTTAGTTCAGGAGCACATTAAGCACTTGACACTGGCCAAATATGCACTCATTAATGTCAGGAATGATTCAGAGCCCACAGCACAGCAAGTCTCTGGGGAGCTTAACAAGTGTAGCTGGCCTGTCCTAGGCTGCTTGCTTGGCTGCACCACCTCATTGACGGGAAGAGTCAGCTGACTAGCTCTTAAGCCCAGCAGCAGCAGTTCAGCAGCTGCTCAAAACATTTGCACATGGCTGTGATAGCTCCTGAGCCTGCTTGCCCCAGACTTGCTCCCACCTTGTTCCAGTCCCACTCCTCTCCTACTTTTAATTCTGACCCAGTCCTGTCCTTGCCTCGGACCTTATCCTGCCCCTGCTTAGTCTCACTCAAGGTAACCCAGCTCTGATGCTCAACTCCAATTCCTGAATTCTGACTTTGGCTCTGACCCTCGGCTCTGGCATTTGGACTTTGACTCTGGCTCTGACCCTGGACACCTATTACTGGCTATCGACTCCTGCTCCAACCACTAGGCATGATCACCCATGTCCCGATCTCTGACAATTAAGCTTAAATTTGTTAATACTGTACAAGTTAAGCAAGAGCCATTGCCATTCACTGTCATTAGGCTATATTGGGATATTCACAGGAATACTAAGGCCTCAATCCAGCAAAGTATTTGTGGATGCACTTAACTTTAAGCACATCTCACTTACTTCACTCTGGTACATCCAGATTCAGTAGAATATAAGGCCTAGCCTATGCTACAAAGCTTTGCTGGCACAACTATGTAAGCTAGGAATGCTGAGGGGGGGGAGGAAATCACACTGCTAGCTGACACAGCTATGCGGACAAAAACCCCGGTTTCATAGATGCAACTATGCCAAAATAAGAGTGCTTCTGTTGACATAGCTAGTGTCATTTGGAGAGGTGGTTTAGCTTTGCTGGCAGAAGAACTCCTGTTGGCTTATGCTGTTTTCCACAAACTGTCGGCATTGCTATATTGGCATAGCTAGACCAGTCAAGACTCTGTAATGAAGACATTCCCTGAGTATATTATATTAATATTCTGTTAAATATTAATCTGCCAAAAGAACCCTCTAACTTTAGTTACTTAATTTTTAAAACATATGCTACATATGCATATAGTAGCATTTAAGAGCTCAGTCCTACATGAGAAACAATGGGAATTTCTACACTGTGATAAAAAAAAAAACCTGTGGCACCAAGTCTCAGAGCCTGGGTCAGCTGACCCAGGTGCTGGGTCAGCATCTGGACTTCAGTCCAAGCCCAGGCTCTGAGACTCCACAAGGGAGGAGGGTCTCAGAGCTGTGGCTATGCTGCGGGTCTTTTATTGCAGTGTACTTGTATCGAATGGGAGTTTCAGGTGCACAGGAGTACTTCTGAAAGCTACTGAAGCTTCCAGATGACTATAATCAAATATTTATATTATGGTAGCACCCAGAGGCCTCAGCAAGAATGGGGCCATTGTGCTATTCCCTGTCTAAATGAATATGTAGACATGGTCTCTGCCAAAGAGTTTACAATTAAAGAAGTCCATAGTCAAAAAATGACATCTGTCTGGACAACAAGTGGGAAAGGATTAAGTCAGAAGTAAGCAATAATTAAAAGTACCCTTTTCATAACATCCTTGTAATGAAGGGGTGGTGAAGAAATAAGGTCCATATCTCCTATTTCTGATCCTGACCAGTTACTCATTATTTATCTTCTGTGCTAAAATTATGATTCACTATTTGAATAAATTTTCCTTCCTATTTGTTCATAGCACAGGAAGTTTACTCTCCATAGCCCCAAGAAAATTCTACTATATTGTCAATTACATACAGACCAACACACTACTACTTATCCAAGGATCCAATCAGTTTTTCCAATGTGGGAAATGTCGGCCCCCAAAAAGCTCTCTTATGAGCTGATAGCATATCATTGGCAAACAAGGACAAATATATGCAATTTTCTGCTGTGTTCTCCCCTATTCAGTTTAAATATTTTATAAAATGTGTTTTACTGTTTCAATTTTAATTATATGTGCTGTATATCTACTAATATATTATTCATGTGCGTTTCAGTGTTAGGTTCCCTGCAGCATTTACATGGGTTTCCTTATGTGATAGTTTGTACTACACTTCACAAAGAATTTCCAACACAACTGAAATCCATATATACACAAGTGCTTGTATTTGCAGAACGCCAATACAAATATATTGTAAAGGATCATCTTTTCCACAGGATGCAAATACATTAGAAGGATTTACCTTACAGTGCATACTATCAATAGGAAAATATAACAGTATGGTCAATATCACAGTAAGAGAAAGGCTTTCTTTTTAATATAAGCCACTTTAGTACAGACAAGGTCATACTGAATCTAGCCCACAGAAAAGTCTTTATAAGCACGCCTAAACAAATGTACTTTTTCCCCCCCTCAGCCTTCCATTTTTTTAAATTCACCACATTTTAGTCAGTACATTCGGCCTTCATCGTTTCTCTGTACTCACATTTGCTAACTGTGTCCATAAGTCTCCATGCCAATTTCAGTATCTATTTTTCAATTGCAGTAAAGAACCAAAGGAAATTCCTTAAACTAGCCAGATCTTCTATATTTTACATACAAACAATTTAGTTTCCTTCCTTTCTAACTCCTGTTCCAGTTCCCTCTCCCTCATCATTGCAGCCTATGATTTTTTTTCCTTAAATCTGCAAAGTGGAAAACTTAAGCATAGATGTGAATGTGCACTGCAGAGAATATACCAAAGGGTTTCTCAGTTTCCTAATGCATGTTCTTAATGAGAATGAGTAAGGTTCTACACTAGAGGTCAGGCTGGGTGTATTCATGGTGCCCCCACCAGTTTTTGCAAGATCTAAGCTTTCATTTACATTTTTTAAAATGTTTCTAGTCCTTATGCTTGTAAAGATATTTTTCTGAGTACTGAGTCTGCAAGTAGGGTTGCCAGATGTCCGTTTTTGACCGGAATGCCTGGTCAAAAAGGCACCGTTGCGGCTCCAGTTGGCACCACCGACTGGACCGTTAAAAGTCCGGTCGGTGGTGTATTGGGGACCCGGGGCTAAGGCAGGCTCCCTACCTGCCTTGGTTCCGTGTGGGTCCCGGAAGCAGCTGCCAGGCCTCTGTGGCCCGTAGGCGCACGAGTGGCCAAGGAGGCTCCACACAATGCTCCCGCCCCCAGCGCCGGCTCCACAGATCCCATTTGTCGGCAACCGTAACCAATGGGAGCTGTGGGGGTGGCATGAAGGTAGCGTGCATAGCCTCCCTGGCTGCCCATGCACTTAGGGGATACAGGGACCTGGTGGCTGCTTCCTGGGAGATGCAGTAAGTGCTGCTGGGACCCCGCATCCCAGACACCCTCCCACGCCCTAACCACCTACTCCAGCCCAGAGTCCCTCACGCACCCAAACTCCCTCCTGGAGCCTGCACCCCACTCCTCCCCACACACATTCCAATCCCTGCCCCAGCCCTGGGCTCCCTCCTGCTCCCCAAACTCCTCATCCCTGGCCCCACCCCAGAGCCCACAACCACAGCTGGAGCCCTCATTCCCCCCACACATCCCGACTTCCTATCCCAGCACAGAGCCCTCTCCTGCACCCCAAACCCATCATGCCCAGCCCCACCCCAGAGCCCGCACCCGCAGCCCGCACTCCCTTCCCACACCCCAACCCCCTGCCCCAGTCCGGTGAAAGTGAGTGATAGTAGGGAAGAGCGAGAGACAGAGGGCTGGAGTGAGCACGGGTGGGGCCTTGGGGAAGGGGCGGGGCCTCAGGGAAGGGGCAAGGAAGGTGTTCGGTTTTGTGCAATTAGAAAGTTGGCATCCCTATCTGCAAGTAGAAGCAATAGTTCTAAGACCAGTGCTGCTCCGTAGGAAATTCCTTAGTTGAGGAAGGAGTAAACGTAACAGAGCTACACTAGGTCTCTCGTGTGAGAGGACAAGAAATTCAGGGGGATTCCACGTGAAGGAGGGATTTAGGGCATGTCTACACTACAAACTAAAGTCGACCTATGTTAGTTCAACTTACAGCCACCACAGCAATTACTGTGGTTTTTCATGTCCACACTTCCTCTTTCTGTCAGTGGTGCGCGTCCTCACCAGGAGCAGTGAGAGGGGCAGTGAGAGGGCCTGAGAGCCCGAGCTCTCAGCCCCCTACTCCCTACTGGGAGCCTGGCTGCTGCTGGGGCTCTCAGCTCCCCACTCCCTCAATCTCCTTGGAAAATCCCAGCATTGAGTAAGAAAGTAATACAATAATGTATTTATACATCAAACTTTTTAAGGGTTAACCACCTAAACTAAAATTCCACAAGATGGCTGCAACTTTGGTTGGAGATTTATGCCAGTGCACTACAAACCCAAGATACACCTGTAGGGAAGAACAGTATGATAGAAAAAATCATTACACTAAAATTGGTTTTAAATAGCAAAATTTCCCAAAGGTGGCTCCTTAAGTTTTACCAGTTTCATGTGTACAAATTACAGGTACAAGTCCCACATCTGCACATGCAATTTTTTACCTGAATAAATAACCATTTGTATATGCAATTACATATATTTTTCAGGTGCAATTTAGATGCACAACTTCAAAAATTTGGCCATCTCTGTTTGAGAGACCTCGGTTTTTCACTAAGGCTTCGATTCAGAAAAGCACTTAAACAAGCAGTTAAGTCTATCCTATGCAGGACAGCACTTAGGCATGTACTTAACCTCAATGGACAACTCTGAACATGTCATCCTGAATATGAATGCTTTTCTGAATCAGAGCCTAAATAATAGAGCAACAAGTATGTGTGTATTGTAGGTACTTATAACTCCAGAGGATGGCTTCCGTTAGGATAAAAGAAACAAGAATTATGCTAGATTGGTTTTTGTAGTCAGCAGGACTCTTCAATTGAATAAGAATGCCCCCTCCCAAGTTATAAAAACCCGACAAAATCTTGGACACGTCCAGCAGAGAATAGAATAAGTAACTTTTTTTCTGAATTAATATCAGCATTACTGAGAGCAGAATTTGTTCCTTTGCATTTATATAGCACTTCATATCTTCAAAACATGGTACAAACATTAACTAATCATGTTTTATACTCTGCTTATCAACATTTTTGACTTCATTGTTACAGAATCTGAGATATTGTCAATCTACAGGAAGTACCTTTGCAGTGACTTATGGTACGACCTTCAATTCTTAATAGTCTAGAAGCAGCTAAGCATTCTTTCAGAATCTCCAAATATTATATATGGCTGACATACCAACACGGGAAAAATGTTTATTGAAATAATATCGACATTTTAGTGAGGAATTTGAAAAATCCAGGAACATAAACACCTCTACCCCAATAGAACACGAATTCGGATATAAAGCGGTAAAGCAGCGCTCGGGGGAGGGGGGGGGGACGCGGGGCTGCGCACTCCAGTGGATCATAGCAAGTTCGATATAACACGGTTTCACCTATAACGCAGTAAGATTTTTTGGCTCCCGAGGTCAGTGTTATATCGGGGTAGAGGTGGATGTTTAAATGTTCTCATTAAAGTAAGTATGCACTAGAAAATAAAGTTCATTTTGTTTCCTAATATACTTTATTAATAAAATGATAAATTTCCAGAACCTTCACTATGTACATTCACAACTCCGTCCACACAAAATAAAAAGCTTCAACTTCCCCTTCTCTTCAACAACTAAAAGTTAGGGTTTATCTGGTGCTAGATGGCAGGAATTGAAATCCAAAAGCATCTTCAGCCACAAGTTATTTTTTAAGAGGCCAAGAATAGAGATGGAGCCATTTCGATGTAAAGCCAATTCTGAACCACAATGTACATACCCATTCTTCCAAAGTCTTATTCTTCAAACTCTAAATTCTTAAAACACTAGTTGGAAAGAATAACAAGTCTGAAAACAGTTTCCCTAACAATAACACAAGGAAATCTTGAGATCTTGCCCATACTGAATATTGCCTAGGCAATCCTGTCTGGTACTAACAGATTCTATCACATTTGATCCATGCAGATTTGTGGCAGACTTTTGCAACATGGTGAACTTTTAAATTAAAAGCAGCATAACTGCTTTACTTTATATGCAGTGGAGCCATAAAGACAAATGTTCTTTTTAATATACAAGTTTCCAAAGAATGAGCTTCGTTCCAACACAAGTTACTTCAAAACCCAAGAGTTTGTTTTAAAACATTTCAGGAAATATTACCAAACATTTAAAATATTTTAAGGACAAAATCATTGTATTAGACAGATCAGTGGGAAACCATAGAATGAGATTATCTGAGTCTGAAAAAAATAGACATTGAGAAGGTCTAACTTTAAAACAAAAGAATGAGAGAAAGGACCGGTAATTATTATACAAGAAAGACTAAAAGTATTAACATTTCTCCCACTGACAATTTCAGTTCAGAAAAAGGACAGCTTGGTAACAAAATATATCATATATATTTCAGTTTTTAGCCAAAGCTTTCTGCTTTAAACAAAAATGAAAAACTCTTCAGCATGAAAAAACCAAGACCACACTCTACCTATTCCAGCTTCTCAAATAAAAAACAAAAAAGTCTTCAGAGAAAAATATTAAGATGAGTTTAAAAAAAAAAATCTAATCCAGAAAGGGGCTTTGAATACCTCTCCTGAACAAGCCTTTTAAAAGGTGGCTTGCATATTTCTGCCTCGTCAAGGCAGTCTTGAGGTTTTGAGTCACTCAGCAGCTTTTTCCACCTAACCAATATGTCCCTTGCAGTCATATTGCAATGCTAGTTTTGAGGGCTCCTTTCTGCTTTACCATAAACTATATTCAGGATTTTCTTCCGAAGTCTTAACCTCTCAAGTGGCAAAAAGCATATACGTGTAATTTACACCCTCCTAAGCAAAGTGGAAAAAAAAAAAAGGGGAGATAGGAGGAGGAAAAAAGAGCAAGAGAGAGATATGACGTGGCGAGCGTATGTACTCATCCAGGTTCCATTGAGAATCATCACAGCCGGCAGCTCACCGCCTCTAATTTTACACTAATAAACATCAGCCAGCTATTGGCAGTGGCTAAGGAGGCACTGCTGCATTCCTGTCTTACGGGTTCTGTGGGGTTTAGAGAGGATGGCTTAATTTAGAGCAAGTGTCCCTTAGTACCTTGACCTTATATGGAAGAAGATGGTCTCTTCACAGGAAAGAGAGGAGCTGGGAGGAAACACTCCATTGAAACAGCCAGTCCAGGAGGGTACAGAGTAAAGTTTTTGCTGAAACAGGTTTATTAGCTTACCAGTTTTTGAAGGGGCATTGTTAGCACTCTGAATAAGAAATATGACTCAGCAATATTATGTTTTATTTGAGTCATTAAATAATCTAAATAAATACAAACCCAGGGATCATCAACCATTTGGTTTATTTAAAAAAAACAAAAATACTTGTGACCAGTTTGTTTGCTGGGGTTAGACAAAAGTGAAATAAGTAATTTACCATTCCCGTCCCCTTATGAGCTCCTGCAGTGGCCTACTAATACAATTTTGAGACAAGTGGGAGAAAGACAAGGGAGAAGTAATGATAGAAGTAAAGTATTAAACATTGGAATGAGCAGACAAGAGAGCAATGCAAGAACTCCAAAGATTTGCATGAGTGGTGGAAGTCATAAGAACATAAGAATGGCCATACTGGGTGAGACCAAAGGTCCAATCCAGCCCTGTATCCTGTCTACTGAAAGTGACCAATGCCAGGTGTCCCAGAGGGAGTGAACCTAACAGGTAATGATCAAGTGATCTCTCTTGCCATCCATCTCCACCCTCTGACAAACAGAGGCTAGAGACACCATTCCTTTCCCATCCTGGCTAATAGCCATTAATGGACTTAACCTCCATGAATGTATCTAGTTCTCTTTTAAACCCTGTTACAGTAAAGTCCTGTTCTGTGACTTTATACTTGAAAAGGTCTGAGCATAAAATCCGGGGTGGGGAAAGTAATCAAATTGGGACCGTGTTCCTCATGAGTGGACATATATATATAAAAATGTTCCTCCTACCAAGTTTCCCTTTTCTTTAATTGACTGCAACAAGCCTGCTGATCCTTCTGATGCAGACCCTTGCTGCAGCTCACTGACTAGCATGAATCCTCTCATCAGCAAGAAGCAGATGGTACCCTCCCTGCTATGTATAGTGTAGACATAGCCTAAGGCACAGAGGTGAAGTAACTTGTCCAAAGCCATACTAGCAAGACAGTGGCAGAGCTTTAGGGCTGGTTTATACCAGGGAACTTGCAATCGGCACACCTACATCTCTTAGGGTGTGAAAAACCCACTCTCCTGAGACACATAGCTACATCAACCTAACCTGTGCTGCCGACAGCACTAGGACGATGGAAGAGTTTTTCCATTGACATACCTCTGGTGAAGGTAGATTAACTATGCTAATGGGGGAACCCCTCCCGTAGGTGTAGGTAGCATCCAGGCTGAAGCGCTATAGCCATGCAGCTGCACCATTGCAGCTGTGCCTCTGTAGCAGTTTAAATGTAGACATACCCTTAGATTAGGCCTACAGAGCAATCAAATCATTTTCATAACATTCTTCAGCTTTTTATATAGTAAAATATACAATGTCATCTGCTGGTCCAATAAAGCAAGTGCCACAGGGCTTCTCTCTTACCTTTGCAAGTTCCTCCTGTAATTCTTTGCAACTTTTTTCATTATCCTGGAGTCTCTCAGAGAGATGTGTAATTACTTTCTTCTTTTCCTCAATCTCTTCATTTAGTTGCTTGTTTGTAGAAAAATACTCTTTTTCGAATCTGAAAAGTTTCAGTGTTAGAACAGGTTTTTCAAATATATTTTTGTCAACCAACATTATATACTTTTAAACACAATTGACAGATGTACTATATATCGTGTTTTCATGCCATAAGGCTTTAAAACTTGCATTTACTTTTTTTCATAAAAAAAAATCCACTCCTTAAATGAAAGCCTTTAAAGAAATAGTACCTCCCCTTAAGATAACCAGGTGTTTGTACTATGCCTGCAGTCATAAGTAAAATAGGTTTAGTGGTCTTGATGTGGCCTCTAGATTACATTTAATGAACAAAATTCACCACAGTTCAATTACCTCAGAAATTGACTCTTATTCAGTCTCCAGGAAAGTCTTGCCTAACCAGCTTTGAATTAAAACGTAACAGTGGCACCCACAATGTCTATATAAAATCTGGTTATGTTCTATTCTAAATTGTGTGGCATAGGATTTTAATGTCAAACAGATGTTCAAACAATCATCTACCAATGGTTGAATTCTAAATGCTAGGGACATTATTACCCTCATTACTCACTGTCACTGGAAGTGATGTCCAGGAGTTTGGAGTGAGAAATCCCATCCTATTCCTTGTTTTTAGAATTTTAACAGTGGGATCTTCCCCTGAATTTGTTTGTTTGTCTATTTGCTGTAAAGAATGTTTATGCTTTATGAGCCATCCAAAACAGACTTGTGGGACAAGGGAAATCATCACTGAGAGAAGGAAAGTTGTTCTGTGGTGGCAGTTTGTGGCTTGGGAGAGAACCCAGACTGTTGACTCTGTCTAGGGCAGATGACCACAGCCTTGAAATGTGAGAGAGTCAGAGCTCTCTGCACTTTTCGTCAGAGGGAATCCTGGGAAATGCAGTCCCAAGTCCCAGAGGATGACGAGACTTGTATGCCTCCACAGCAAAGCATAATGGGAAAGGGGGTGGCAAGATAGTAGCAGTCATCTTCTCCCTTATAAGAGGGAGGTTGAAGATGCCAACAGCCCCTCTGAGTCAGGGAGAACTCTACTTGTTTGCTTTTGACTTTAATCACCAGATCTTTGGGGAGAGTCTGGAAACTCAGGAATAGTTGGGAGAAAGGAACTCTGGTAAGGGTCTGTTTCTTTTAAACTTTATTACAAAGACTTGCAGTTTGTCTGTTTGACTTTAAACTGGCACTTCTCTTGAGTGAATTTGGGTTCTCTGGAGGAAGAACTCACCTTCCCAACCCTAGCGAGGGCTGTGTTTGTTTGTAAAATACTCAATTGGCAAAAGTCATGTTGATACAGCAGCTAATAAAATTGCCCAGATCAGCAATTGAGGAGAAACAGTAGAACACCACTGTAGTTCTGATGCTAGAATCGATAATTCTTTCTCCATGTCTAACGTACTAACCAAGTATGTTAATTAAGCTCTAAAATGGTTATGCCATTTGTATCTGGCTATTTTATTTTGGTTTTCTTAATTTTTTTTTTTTTTACAATTGAAATATATAATTAATAAAGGTTTAGTACTTAAATCTATAGATCAATATCTCTAATTCTAGTGGTGTCATCACTGTAACAGTTATGTCCTCTCACAATCCAGTGTTAGTTTATCAAAATAAAGTTGATTATTAGCCATAGTCAAAATATATTTCCAAATATTTCTAAAAGTAATTCTAGATATAAAAAATTGCTGCTCCCTAAGGAAAAATTGGCTATTCATTTTTTCCTGTTTTTCTAATTTCTTTCCAAGCTTAGGTTTAAGGCCAAAAAATATTATACTTTTATTATGGTTATGCAAAAACCTTTGTTTTTCAATTTAAAGAAAAGCAGGTCTCTTAATCTAGATAATGATTCTGATATTGATCCAACAGATTATTAGATCCGAGACAGTTGAATGCAATTTAATTTTTATTTAATTATTCTTATGAACAATTACAATATAACAGAACACTGAAATTTGTGTAAATCTGTTTTTTCTAAAGATATTTTGAAAGACAGCTAAAAACATGGTTATGAATTTTTTTTTATAATTGTTATCAATATTTTGTATAATGATTTAGTGTAAATTATAAATTTAAAAATAAATTTGGCTCTGGTATGGAGTAGATTACATTTAACAAACAAAAAATTCACCACTTCCATTAGCTCCGAAGTTGCCTCAAGACTGAAGTCTTGCTGGTTTTAACCATTATTAAATTAATGTGCAACAGTAGCACCCAAACTATCCATATATTGTGTATTAAATCTGGTTGTGTGCTATTCTAAGTTGTGTGCTGTACAGTTTGAACAATTTGCAAAATTTCAAACAGATGTTCAAAGAATCATGAAAACGTGGTCTAATTCTGTAAGGTTTAATTTTTATTCTTAAATCATTATTATGATTTGTTTCCAGAGCACATTCAAATACCAAAGCAATTAAAACATTAAGACTTAACATCACTGTTATATTGGTATGTATTATTCCCATTTCACGAAGGTGTAAATAGAGGCACAGACAAGTTAAGTGACTGCTCAAGGCCACCGAAGAAGTCAATAAAACTCAGACTTTGAATGTCTAGCCCCATGCTGTAATCACTAGACAACATTCCATATTCACATCTGATCAAATAATGCTATTGTACTATGTCCACAAAAATCTATTAATAAACACATGTATGGTCTGATCTTGCAAGGCTTTGAGATGCCTCAGGTCCCAGTAAAGACAACAGGAGTTGAGTGTGCATAGCACTTGCAGATGCATGTCCCTACTAACAATAATTGCCAAGGCAGAACACACAGAGTTACTTTAATAAAACAAAATTCATGGAAAGTCAAACAGTACTGTATCCAAGCCACTTTTTGTTTTATTCTCAGAACCCAATTTTATGTGTGGAACAATTTAGGTGATATCAAACCCTTTTTTGTTTAAAAAATAGAAGCACCTGTGAATTTTTTCCATTATCCAACTTTTGCTTCTAGATTGGTAAAGCAAGGTACATAACTATTTTTTTGCATCCTGTTTTAACGTAAGAGATCTGATAGTTTGGAACACTAAATGTGAAGAGAAAAAACAGGTGTAGCAAATAGCAAATGGGACCTCTTTCAAATGACCTAGATCTGATACTGGCCTTCCCTTTTTTCTCTCCTCTTTTCAGTGAAGCATGCTGAGGAAGCCAGGGATACAGAGTCCTTTCTCTACACCACCCTATCCCCTTCTGAAGTCATGCCAGAGTCCAAGATTAGGAAACATTCCAGAGGTAAGCATTTCGTTTTACTTTTGGATGTTTGCTTGGTCTCAATAGACTTCTGATGTAAAATGGTGGTGGAGAGGACAAACCAAAAAAAACAAACAGAAGAATTGTAGCATGGAGGGGGGGAAAAAACAGATGACCACAGTCAGTGGGCAAACCTGATGGCAACAAATTAGGCTGTTATGGATAATTAAAGAGCATTCTAATGCAAAGGTACTACTTTGCTTGCCTCCTGTCTTCATTTTCTAAATATTCCCTTTTGATAACTCCAGACCTACTGATTACCAAAAAATCATAAACTTCCATGGTGGGAACCATGTTTATATAAAAAGGCTGTGAATGGGAGAAAGGAGGTTCATGAGACAGTTGCATGAACCACCTCCCCTACACATCTGTAATTATATAAGATCCCTGTGGCAATTACAGCAGTTTCTTAAATGAAAAAATATGTATGTATTTTTAGATATCTTTTCATAAGATTTAGCAGATGAAAGCATGGAAAAGGAACACGCAACATGTGACCACCTGCAAGAGTTCCACAGATCACAGCTTAGGAACCTCTGATCAAACACAATATTTGTGCAGTTTGAAAACAGCTGGGGGGGAAAGTGCGTACTAAAAGAGTATGACATTTTTAAGAAAACAGAACAGTACAAAGCTGCTAGGAAAATTATATTGAAAGACTAAATATTTCCTGGAAGAAGTAAAAAATACCTAAGGAAAGGATAGTGGAAAGAGAAAGCCTCTGGAAATTTTTACTAAAGCAGTAAACTATTTTCCTTTAACAGTCATATTAGGACAGCTAAAACAATAAGAAATAATTGGTTTCCTAAGTTTCGTGGACTTCAGTGGTTTCTACAGTGTTCTAGGTACCAAGACGGAGGAGGACTGGGGACTGGAAGATGAATTACTCAAGTTAAAACATTAGGAGCTTAGAGTCTCTGCCATGTAGCCTCACCAATCTCCAGCCTTAAAATCACTTTCTTGGTTGATTCCAAGATCTTGACTGAAATAATCTAAGAGTTGGATTCACAGACTTGATACCACATACAATGATAAGTTAACGGGGAGAGTAAGAGAAAAGTAGCATTGACAGATAAACTAATTAACATAACCTTTGACTAAAGCAGTCACATATGTTTATAAATGGGTTTTCTCGAAAAGGAAGTTTAATGCATAGCACAAAGTTCATCAATATTTAGATCAAAGACTAAGATCTAGAGCATGCATTCTACTTCTCACCCCAAATTTATTATGCCATAAAATCTAAAACTATCAAATTCATACATTTAATGAAGTTTTACACAAGGTGAAAAGGAAAGCATCAAAACCAGTTAAAATATTGCAGAAATCTCCCAAATGAAAACAAACTAGCTCATGTAGGAAGTCACTGAGTCAAATCAATACTACAGTTTATTTGGGAGGCATCACCATTTGTAGAACAATTAATTTTTGCAAAATATTCATGCCTGCATGGAAGTTAACAGCAGAGAGCAGATTCTTGGGATAGTGGAGTTCCTTGGTTAACTCCACCAAAGATACACCAGGGATAAATTTGGTCATTTGTGTTTAAGAAAGGGAGCCTCTTTGGTACTGAAAACCCCCTAAGACATTCTAAAGTGGGCAGGCACCAACCAGAGAGGCTCATTCCCCAGTTTTAAGTGACACCTGGAGCATGCAATCATATCAAACAAAAGGTGTATTGTGAAGAAGAGTTCAAGCTTACACTATGCACAGGATACAAACAAAATAAGTGCATAAGCACTGAAAGTCTGTTTGTGCTGATTATAGACACCCAATAGGTTTCCTTTAGCAACTGTTCAAAGCTATTTTCTGTAGTAACTGTACATACTGTAAATAAAAGATACTTTACTAATCCCAACTCCATGTCTGTACACACTCACTCTTTTTCCAAAAAGGAAAGAAATCATACCTTGGGATCAAAGTTTTCTAACAACTCAGAAGTTGAGATTTTACTAATTTTGAGATTCTGAGCCACATAGAACCATAATGGACCACTAGAGAAGCTCTAACAAAATTATAGGCTGAAAGGGGAAAGAGTTCTTTGAGACAAGAGCAGAGTGATGAAGAGGAGTCTGTAGAATCAAAGATTTCTCTGAAAACTGCAAGATAGCTGGATAAATTTGGAAAAATGAAACTTCATTAATATTCTTAGGTGACCATGGTTTAGGTAAGCTGATTTGAGGGGCTTTATTTTGTCCAAAATTAGAGCTGAGAAGACATGTTGTCCTTGTAAAGTTTGGGTGAGAAAATATAACATACCACGGTCATACAATAACATCTGGGACACGGGCTCACGGAATCTAACTCTGCCCTACTGTGTAAGATCCAAAAAAATCCTGGAAGTGTTGTATTTGATGTTACAGACAGAATGGCCAGGGGAAGGTGGCTCTGGCCAAGCTAGAATGATGGTACCTTGAGCAGGTGGTCATCCAGGTAATGGAAAATATGAATTCACCCTTTCCTGAGGACAACCACCATGATCATCATGATTCAAGAGAATCTGGGGTATTGCTGCCACTAATTTTTCCCACCTATGGGCAGAATAAATTTTGTTTTGTGCACCAATATGGAGGTGATGTGTCACACATCACCTCCATATTGGTGCACAAAACAAAATTAATGTGGTGGAGGTGGGACCAAGGGGTTCAGAGTGTGGGATGAGGCTCAGGTCTGGTGCACAGGGCTAGGGTGTGTGGGGGAGGGGGAGTTGAGGATTCTGACTGGGGGTACAGGCTGCCCCAGGGCTACAGCAGGGAGAGAGGACTTCCCCCAGCTCTCTCCCCCGACAGCAACACCTGGGCTGGGGGGGGGAGAGGCACCTCTCCCTGCCGTGGCAGTTCTGGGGCTGGGGCTCAAGCTGGGGCCAGGGGCAGGACCGTGGGATAGGTTCCTCTCCCCCAGTCACTGCAGGTCCAGGCTAGGCCTGGACGGAGAGGCACCTATCTTTGCAGATCCAATAACCACCCCAAACACACCCAAAAATCTTATCTACAGCCAGGCACACAGATACCACAGAATATGCTCTGGGATATACACCTTAACTCACTCAAAACAACATTTACCAAACAACACTCCACGAGAGAAGCAGATTGCATCATGGAATAAGCCACCCAAATACCCTGAAAAAACCTGCTTCAAGTTTCCCAAAGAGCTCTGTGTAAGCTCAAAAGCTTCTCTCTCTCACCAACAGAAGTTGGTCCAATAAAAAAATATTACCTCACCCACCTAGTCTCTCTAATATCCTGGAACCAACATGGCTACAACAACACTGCATACAAAAGCTAAGAGGCATTCCTCGCCATGAATACTCTTCAGCTTCTCTATGAAAATCTGTAAATTAGAATTTCCCCAACAAAAATAAATCCATATTAACTTGCTAAGATGAAAAAAAAAATGTTGTCACATGCAACTCTGCTAGCAAGCATCCCAATATGAATGTTTTGCAAATGATCCATATAACAATAGGTTACATCGCTCTATCTTCCCACAGTGTGTATATGTACCAGCACTGATGGAATGTCAGGCCTGTTCAAGTGTGTGTGATCATGTCATCTTCTAGTGACTGCAACCTAAGAAGGATGTAAATTATAATACTACACACATTGTTACTGCTGGCTTACAATACATTTAGTAGATAAACTTACATATTGAGTTTTTCCAAGCTCTCTTGGGCATTACGTTTCTCTCTCTCATATGCGTTTTCCACCTCTTTGAACTCTTTCTTGATCATTTCCAAATCAGAAAGAGCTTCTGCTTGGCTGGCTTTTTCTACCTGCAAAGCTCCTTCAAGGTCTCGAATCCTTAACTACCAAATGATAAGAAAGCAATTAAAGCAAGTTAGGGAAAGCTATCATTAATCTTCAGCAGTGTTCTCTTTTTCTGTGTCTGTGTGTGAGTGAGGGAGCACTGAGCACACAAAGGGATATGAATACCTACCATAAAGAGCAGAGAAAAATAAAAAGATATAAAGTGCTTTTACTCAGACTACTATACTTTGGTGAAATTTATATTATATTAATTAAATTAAGTACACTGGTAAGGTTTGTCAGAGGTTTTCTATTTTTTGTACATGAAACCAGTTCCATTAAAACAAAGCACAGGATTAATAGGGAAGATTAGAGTTCCATACAACGGAGAGCAGAAATGTGACAACTCCATGTGCATCAACTACTAATAGAAAATCTTACCAGTCTTAAATTTGCCCTCCCAATTCAGTTATATTTTGTAAAGGAGGAAAATTTAATATATTTTTTCTTTATTCTTTTTTAGATTAGTGTAATGGTCATTTAAAAAAAGTGTTTCCAGTGAGAACTAGAGGGTACAAGAACAAGAAAATAAAATGGGCTACAAAATGACACTAGTTAGTCCGAATGCAAAAAGAACACAAATAATGAAAAGCATAAATTTTGAAAATGAGTTCAGCACCTTTTTAAGTTTCCTTGTTTGTTCTTTAAAGTAAACTGTGATTAACTATTTATTTGAAAGACCATCTAGAGCAAGCTGAGTATAATATAAAATTTGAATTTTGACGAATATGTAGCAAGCTTGCTCACGCTTATTATCTGCCAATACTGTACTACCATTTTGTTTGAAGTTCAAATCTGCTCACTGAAAATTATATTTAAACAGTAGTTTCAGAGAGAACTACCGACTGAGTTACATAGTTTGTTGCTCCCATGAAACAGTTGCATATGTGCTTTACATCTTCATTCAATTCCATCAGCAATCCTGGCAAAAATATAATTATTGGGTATTTTAACAATAAAGGAATGTTTTAATAGTAGGACATTTCCTTTTGACAGTTTCGCCACAATTTTAAAAAAATTTCCCCTACAGTTATGCAATAACTAGTACACATTTAGGCCTTGTTTCTGCAAAAACTTTTCCATAGGCTGCCAGTGTACATAGTCCTACTGAATTGGGACTACTCGCATATATAAATTTAAACACAGGCATAAATCTTTTCAGGATTGGGGCCTTACAGATCTACTAGCTGCTCCATCATAAACTGTGGAAATTCCACAAATATTTGACACTGGTTTACCTGGATAATTTCAGAATTAAATTTGGATTCCAGATGTGCTGCTCTCTCTGCCTCAATATTTTCTTCCAATTTCTTCACTCTCACAGTAGCTGCCTAAAAATATGAAAAATATTTACATTCCCAAAAGACAGATATTAACTTAAATAGGATTAAGATTTTAAAAAGGATTTTCAAGGTGTAGGATTCTTTAGGTAAACACTTTTATTATACTAGGAATCCACACTCCCTGCTGTTAGGCTATTTTGGTTTTTATCCCTGCTATATGTTTATTTAAAAAAAATATATGCACAGATATCAAAAGAATGGAATTTAGCCAAATTCACCAAAAACAACTAAAAAAAACCCCCACACACCCAGTACTGATAAATTATTTTTCTATTTAATTACTGTGTTCCATACAAAAAATCTATTACTAATGCAATATTAATATTGAGAAATGAGGCACTCAGAAGTCAAATAATGAGCAGATAAGACTGAAAGCTCAACATTCTGTATTACTAAGAAATTGCCAATTGAACACAATATAATACAGTCCAGACAGAGATTTGCAGTATAGAATGTACAATCTTAATTTCAGTGATGAGATAGTTAAGACAGTATGATTTGTTTGGGAGGGACTATGGTTAACGTCTGGGACCGCAGAAAAGAGATTTTGGTGCTAATCAAGATGCTGTAAATAAACGGCTATGCGATTACCGACAAATCACAACTTCTTTGCCTCAGGATGTTATGAAGCCTATATAATATTTCTAAAATGCTATCTAATTGTAAAGTATTATTAGGGCTTGGGTCCTTGTCCTGTGATCATTCCCCCAGGCTTTAGTGAGGAGAAGAGGACGTGGATAACTTGTTTAGCAAATATCCTGGCTGTTTAAAACCCATTTTGATTAGTTATCTCACTTTGCAATTGAACCTGTACACACACGTGCAGCACATCTATGCTGAATGTCATAGTTCAAGTATTAATGGGATTTTCTATTGCACTTGTGCCTGAGTACAATTTCAAACGTTCACAACTTTATTTCTAATAAATTTCCCGCCCGATATTTAGCAAGGCACATACAACTCATTATGAACTATGTCCATACCAAATTTCTACTTTCAAATTTATGTAGCTTGTCGGGGGGCGAAATTGACCTTTAAAAGGAACAATGATATATATCAGGGAGGAAGAAGCAGTGTGAATTTTATGTATATTTTAAACCCTTGTGTGACTCAAATAATTAAAGAAAGAAAGAAAGAAAGAAAAACCTGAAGAATTCTCTCTTAAAATCATCATTAAATAAAAACAAAACAAAATAATCATTGACATTTAGGCAGAGACCAAGCTTGGAAAATTTCAGCTGAATAGGTGAATATTTTAGAAAATAAATGACTGAAGTCTTGGTATAATGGAAACGGATTTGCAACCTTAACTATATTGTTTTCTACCACTACTGGGGTCTTTCACGTGGATGGATGATTTTCAGTGAAGGAACAAATCCTACAACTATTTTGTGGCCTCAAGTTCAGCACAACTGTCAAAAACTCCTTCTACCACTAGCTGGTCTCAAATTTCCTTCTTCACACCTAGTGCAATCAAGAGGAAAAAAAGAGACTGTCGGAGGACTAGGTTTTAATCTAACCACACAGGAAGTCACACAACTGTATTCACTGTTAGCGATTTTGGAAAGGTAAGACAAAATAGCAAATATTTTTGACTTTTTCTGGATTCAGAATATTTAGGATTGTCAGAAGAAATTGAAATATTAACAAGTATTTTACAGAAGCTCCTAGGAGTGAGTGAAATTTTTTTGACTACTTCATATTTGCATATTACAGGTTCCTTGGAGAACACAGAAAAACCAGAAAGTTCTGAAGCTGGTGCCTAATCCTGTTGAAGACCTAAAGCTGGAATGAACTCTAGAGTACTGTAAGTAGCTTTCCAAACGTACTCCATAAGTAGGGTTTCCAAATGTCCAGCTTTTGACCGGAATGCCCGGTCGAAAAGGGATCCTGGTTAGTGTGCTGACCAGGCCGGTAAAAGTCCAGTTGGTGGCACAGTGGGGCTAAGGCAGGGTCCCTGCCTGCCTTGGCTCCACGTGGCTCTCGGAAGCAGTGGCATGTCCCCACTCCGGCTCCTAGGCGTAGGGGCCAGGGGCCTCCGCGCACTGCCCCCACCCAAAGCGCCGGTTCCCAGCTCCCATTCGCTGGGAACGGCGGCCAATGGGAGCTGCAGGGGTGGTGCCTGCGGACGGGGCAGCATATAGGGCTGCCTGGCTGTGCCTTCATGTAGGAGCCAGAGGAGAGACATTCTGCTGCTTCCGGGAGCTGCCTGAGGTAAATGACGCCCAGTGCCTGCACCTCTGACTCCCTCCCGTGCCCCAGCCCCTTGCCCCAGCCCTGATACTCCCTCGGTGCCAGCCCGGAGCCCCGTTCTACACCCAAAACCCCTCATCCTCACCCCACCCCAGAGCCCGCACTCCCAACCAGATTCCTCATCCCCCCACATCCCAGTCCCCTACCCCAGCCCTGATCCACTTCCTGCACCCCAAATCCCTCACCCCTGAACCTCATCCCCCTGTCCCAGCCCAGCGCCCCCTCCCACACCCTGGACACCTCATTTCTGGCCCCACCCCAGGACCCACACCCCTAGCCCAGTACCCATACCCGCTCCCACACCCCAACCCCCTGCCTCAGCTCAGAGCCCCCACTCATACTCCAAACCCCTCAGCTCCCCCCCAGCCCGAAGACCCCCCCTGCACCCCAAATCCTTCATCCCCGGCCCCACACCAGAGCCTGCACTCCCAGCCGGAGCCATCCCCACCCAAACTCCACCCCCTTGCCTCAGCCCGGAGCCCTCTCCCGCACCCTGTACCCCTCATATCTGGCCCCACCCCAGAGCCTGCAGCCAGAGCCCTCACTCCCTCCTAAACCCCAACCCTCTGAGCCAGCCCGGTGAAAATGAGAGAGCGAGTGAGGGTGGGGAGAGCAAGCAGAGGGAGGAAGAAATGAAGTGGGGGCCATGGAGAAGGGGCAGGGCTTCAGAGGATGGGTGGGCAAGGGTATTCGGTTTTGTGCGAGTAGAAAGTTGTCAACCCTATCCATAAGAAAATCCACAAACTGTGCATAGGGTCAAAATTTACATCTGCCCAGGAATTTTGCCTTATTTACAAAGAAATTCACAGTCAAACAAATTCCATCGCAAGTCTTCTCCCCAATGCTAGCATTCCTCCCCAAAGACAGTTCAGTCCAAATCCTGGACCCTTTCATCCTCTCCAGAGAGCAAATCTTTTCACTTTCCCTTACACCTACAGTACAGTTAACGAGATACCTGCAACAGTGAGTTAGGAAGATTTGCTTAACATCTACCAGCATTTCCATGCAACACCGTGCTAGTGCAAGAGAACTAGAAAGAGTAACTTGCTTTTACAAAAATGTCAAACTGGTGAGTCTAGTTTCCTTATACAAACTGAGACACTAAAAAAGTAAACAAACAATATACATAATGAAAAGTAAATTAGATAACCTAAGGCGTTATTAGCAAGTCCCTGTGCACACTGTGGAAAGATGGATGTAAACTGCGAACTGGAAATCAGAGACAGGTAAGTACTATTATACTCATTTTGATGACTGAGCCTATGTACAGAGACTTACCCAAGATCACACAGTTACTTGGAAGAGCTGGAGATAGAATCCAGGAATCCTGACTCTCAATTCTGCTTTTAATCACTATTTCCTTATAAAATTTAGTTTTAAATGAAAAATGCTTCCAAAAAAACATTGATAAAAATCAATGATTTAAAAAAATCTGATTTTTTGTATTTAAAATTGATTTTTCTTTTTGACAAAATGCTTTTTGAGGAAAAAACTTATCTTAATTAAAACTATTATAGCTCAAAGATCTCATCATGGAATAGGGATTATAAATTCTAATTCTATCGTATGAGACAATATATTCATGTAATGTTTAAGAAAAGTTTTGTAAATGAGTTCCAATAGTTCATGGAACTAGTTAGGGACCCAATCTTATGGTGTTCCAGGGGCTTCTGTATAGATTTAGGTTAATCTTTCTATCTACCCAATGGGACTCAGTGCTCAGTCTAGAAGATACCATCAGAGATGCTTAGTTTTGAAGTTCTCAAACTGTGGATTTGTGTCTCCAGAGATAACATGCTTATTAACAGCAAAAATGTTTTTAAATAAATAAATTATATATAGAGGTGAGAAGTAACAGACCTCAACTCTACTGTCCCTCTGCAAATTTGTGTACACAGAGTCAATCCCTTACCTCTCTCTAAAAGTGCAAAGTTTCAAGAAGTTAAATGAATAGAAGATTGTTGGGGGTGGAATAGATCAGGACAAGGAGAAGAAGTCTGGAGATAAATATGAGAAGGGAGGGACGGGCAGTCGAAAAGCATATTCCAGAAGTCTTGAGCAGCATATTTCAGAAGTCTTGAGGTCTTTCTGAGTGTAACCGTCATTGATTTGAGATTTACTATACCATTCTCTCACTAGAAGGGAAAAATCTATAATGGCAGCAGGTGGTAAAAGAGACCCAATTTGAGACTATTTTAATTAAGTTCCTCTACCTGTGGGTAAGACAGGCAAGCATGCAAAATGCAAACAGTGCAACAAAGAAAGCTTCAAAAACAGACTCCAACGAGAAACTGCTGAGCTTGAATTGATATGCAAATTAGATACAATCAATTTAGGCTTAAATAGAGACTGGGAATGGCTGAGCCATTACAAACATTGAATCTATCTCCTCATGTAAGTACTCTCATACTTCTTATCAAACTGTCTGTACTAGGCTCTTGATTATCACTTCAAAAGTTATTTTTCCTCTTACTTAATTGGCCTCTCAGAGTTGGTAAGACAACTCCCACCTTTTCACGCTCTCTGTATGTGTGTATATATATATATATTTCCTCAATATATGTTCCGTTCTATGCATCCGAAGAAGTGGGCTGTAGCCTACGAAAGCTTATGCTCAAATAAATTTGTTAGTCTCTAAAGTGCCACAAGTACTCCTGTTCTTTTTGCGGATACAGACTAATACGGCTGCTACTCTGAAACCTGCCATAGTTAGTTCAGCTAATTATGATTTGGCA